CGATACATATAAGATACACGTGTATTGTTATTTAATAGCAAAGATTGTCAATTACTGAAAAAATTAATGAACTTAAAAAAAACCTGTAAAGCCCCTATTTTTTGAAAATTCTGCCCCAAGCCTACAATCTGCTTACCATTTAGATCTAATTGAGATTCAGAGAATGGGTTTTTCCCCCTGAGATTGTTTTGCTTTATAAAATGTGCATTTTGGGTGGGGTGGCGTCTTCTCTCTCCAATGCTGGTATCTTTGTAAATGCTGCGGAGCTGGGGGGAGCCCGAGGTGGAGGTGGAGTCCATGAATCCAGTTGTAGTTAGTGCTGGCTCCTCACTCTTCCTGGGGCCAGGTTCTTAACCTCTCTGGGCCCCTCTCCTCTTTCTCCTCCACTCCCTCTCCTTGTGAGAGAGCCACCTCAATGCTATAGAACTGGGGGAAGACAGCCACAGTAGTTTACATTTTTAAAGGAGTACTTAGTCATTTGAATTGGTTCACGTCCATATGGTTCAAAATATTAAAAACCACATAAAAGGTCATTCAATACCACCTCCCTTCTGCTGATGTCCTTGCCCAAATCCCCCTCTAGGAATGGGAGGAGCTGTGGAGGGCAAGCATTAAACGGGAGGGCTGCACCTGGATGGGAAGGATTGATTCGAAGGGGACGTCCCTCAAGGTGGCTCTGCTTCCTCCCAAAGCCTCCCCACGCTTCCCAGACTTTAAACAGCTACGAAATAGTCACAGCCCCTTTTCAAGAAATGTTGACTTTGAATTTGCTAGTGTTCAAAGGAAATGGTTTGCCCATTTCTCTAGAACTTGGTTGGTAAGAGAGGATCTTCTGTCCCCTTTATCATTTTCTTTGGGAACTTGGCCATTGAATAGAATAGAAGGGGATGAGGGCAAGATCTGTGTGGGAAGGCTCAGAGTTTGTGATGTTTCGAGTCAGAACAAAGCACCCGGAAATAAAATCGTAACAAAAATGCCCTAAATTGCCCTTCAGTGAATTCCACATTCAGAATCTTTCTGGGTGAGATATATTTATAGAGGCGTGCTGAGCAGGGCAGCCCAGCAGACCGTGAAGTGAAGATGTGTTTCTAGCCCAGTGCCCTGCACACAGTAGGTGTACAGACAATGCTGAATAAAATGCATGATTTATTAAATATGTCTGAGGTACTTGCTATGCTAGTCAAATGTTTTAGGAGGTTTTATTTGCAATGCAAAATCGAAACATTCTTTTAAGAGAGTTAAGGACTACTCTGACGTTTTGGGGTTAATCTACCATATGGTAGCTATTTTGCAATAATAAAAAAAAAAAGACAACTTCACCCCCCTCTCCCCTCCTGGCACTGGAGACTTACCGTGCATGAAGTAAAGTTCAAAAATCTGGCACAATTCATTTAGAAAAGTAACGCTGTGCTTCCTCCCCCCTCCCCCCCCCCATCAGCCGCTCCCCAACTGCTTTGTGTAGAGACAACAGTCCCCAAATTATGGGTCGCGGCACACAAAAGATCTAGCATCAGACGTTACAGCGTTTGTTTCTTTGTTTTCAAATTGTGCTATCCTGTTAGAGTACTAGGATTCATTAGTTAATCCCATCCATTCATTTGCTCCATCCACAGATGTTTGCTAAGAGCCTGCAGGGGCATTACGACGACGTGCCCCAGGCCTGCCCTCAGGAAACATACCCTCCAAGTCAAGGAGGGTTATTGTGTAAGAGCGTCGGTGCTGGGGCGGAATGGTGCTTCACCTGGACCAGGGTTAGGGGCCTGGCGGAGACCTCGCACAGCTGCAGGAGCCGGCGCCCGAGGTCTGGCTCCTCTGGGGCTGCGGAGGTGGGGTGGGGTCCGCGGAGCGGCCCCCTCCTGAGCCCGCATTAACTTCGCGCCTCCGACCTCCGGCCCCGAGCGGCGGGCGCGGCGGCCCGGGGGGAGCGCAGCGAGTGTGGCGCGGGGAAGGCGCGGCGGCCGGGTCCGCCGGGCGCCCTGGGGCCGGCGCCGCCAGCGCCCTCTCCGCCGGGGGCTCGGGCTCCTCGCCCACCTCTTCCAAATTTAACCATTACCTAAATCCGGAGGGAAATGAGCAAACCTCTCGGATCGGGTGTCAAGGTATTTTCAGCCTCGTTGGGCGTATTTATCCCCAAGTGTTTCCACAACAAGTTATTTCGGGGCCGCGGGGCAGGTTGCTCTCGACGGACTCTGCGGCCACGCGGCGGGCTCCAGCCCGGCGGCCCCGGGAGCCGCTGATTCACGGCCCGGGCCGGGGGCGTCGGGCCGAGCCGGCCGCGGGGTTGGGAGTGGGGAGCGCCCTCACCCCCGCCGCTCCAGTCAATCTGTGTCCTGAATCTGTGACTTCTTCTCGCTGCGGAAGTCTCCCAGGAGCCAAGAATAGCACAGCTTCTTTCCAGTCATTTCTAACGCTTGGGTCCCCCGCCCCCTCGCCATCCCACGGAGAAAACAGCGGGCTGCGAAGGGGCGCCGGCGGCCGCCCCTCGCCCAGCCGAGCCCCCGCGGAGCCCGGCCGGGTGGGGGCAGGGTCGGAGAGCCGCGAGCTGCTCCTTAACGCTCAGGAAGTGAAGCTTGTGGTTTTGGGGGCTGAGCACTGGAGGAGGCTTGGTGTGTGTGTGTGTATGTGTGTGTGTGTGTGTGTGTGTGTTCAAGGCAGAAACAGCGCGGTCTCTCCCGAAAGCAAGATTCGGTTTGGAAAC